ACAACTAGATGTTCTTTTTTTCTGATTAACAATAAATATAAAAGTAAATAATGATAAATGGTGACATTGCAAATGAAAAATGAGCCTGCTGAATCGGATAGTTTCTTATCCCCGTACTGCCAGGCTCCAGTATTTTCAGCAGTGAATTCATGTCTGAAATTTTCTTGTCATGGATAAGAATAAAGGGGTTCTCCAATTCCTAACAAAATCAAAATGAATGCTGTCAGTATAACATACATCTAAGCCCAAATAAAGTTAACCAAATTGATTGAAGTTTTTTATTTGAATTATGTGCATCGTGTTTTAAATAAACCCCGACACTTTGTCAAATTAAATCAATAGCCTAGCATGAAGCCATTAATAACAAATATCCACAAAAAAAATACTTTCAAAAATGAAAGTAGGTTTTGGAGAAATTAACAGAACCATATGTTCCTACCAATACTACATGACAAGAAGATAGAAAAACAGAAAGACTACTTTGACAAACCAAAGGTGGTAGAACCAAGTAAACTTCACAAACATAAATACATACACCAGCATAGAGAACATTTGTTAAACCCAAAATTACAACCCATCAATATAATAATCAAGGTTGATCTACTGTAATACAACATGCTACTTCATTTTCTGAGAATTTTTGACATATTACATATGTGACAAAGAATAATTTTGTGCTTACACATTTGCGGGTCTTCTGGTCAGTAATAAAATAAGGAGATATGTAGCCTCTGGTTAACTTCATTCCTTCCACCACTTCCAACTCGTTATCCAAAGTATTCCCATCCTAAAATTTTTAAAATTATAGATACCCTGAACCAAAACTGTGTCACGTAATAAGTTCACAAAAATGAGCATCATTGCTTACAACAACAGTAATGACTCCCTCCTTCCCAACTTTCTCCATTGCCCTTGCTATCAATTCTCCAATATCGCGCTCCCCGTTTGCAGATATAGTTCCAACCTACTAGTCAGAAATGAATAACTATAAACAAAATATAACTGGCATAAAGAAAATTAATTTATCCATCAGGAAGTAGCAACATAGTTTCTTCTATAAAGTGTAACTAATGCCAAAATTATTCAATGCCTATGCCTATGCGCATATAATTAATAAACAAAATATAACTGGTATAATGAAAATTAATTTATAAGATAAGTAGGCAATATAGTTTCTTCTATAAATAAAGTGTAACTAATGCCAAAAATATTCAATGCCTATGCACCTATAATTAATATAGGAGGGAAGCAACAGACATTAAAACAGTTTTCTTAACCAAAATGCACCTGGGTTATCTCTTCTGGTGTGCTTATCATCAATGCTCTGCTTTTCAAGTCAGTAATTACAGCATCAACTGCCTTATTTATTCCATTACGTAAGTCCATAACATTCACGCCAGCAGCAATTGATTTGCATCCTTCTGTGAGTATTGCCTGAGTCAAAACAGTTGCACAAGTTGTACCTGAAATCAAAGAAGAAGCATGGACTTGTAAGATACATGAATGGTTTCATAAAAAGGAATAGATAAAGGCAAATATAACTATGCTCGCTCTCTAAGTTTTCCATCTAGAATAAAATAGGGTATTAATTTAAGAAATTTAATCAAAGAGTAATAACCACCATTGGGTATTTGAGATCTTCTTAATTATATATTTTTCTCATTTGTTTGTTAAGACCTTTAAGCAAGTTATATATCAAATCTGCTTAACAAAACCATCATCAGGGACTACTGGTCGATGAGTTATTTCTAGACAAGTATCTGTTAATTACCCTGATATTGAAAAAAATTGCAATTCTTGGGTCCCAAAAGATTCTTTCAGAGAACTTATAATGAAGCAATATTATCAGGGAAAATTAAAAACTCAATGAACAATGATGGGATAATTTCGACATAAAAGATTCGAGTTGGAAGAAAAGTAATCACCGTCTCCAGCAGCAGTGTTGGTAGCCTTGGCCACCTGCTTGACAAGATCAGCACCGATATTTTTTTCTTTGTCTTTAAATTTGATACTTTTAGCCACAGTCACACCATCCTTCGTGATCCTGGGATTCCCACGGCTTCTATCAATTATCACATTGCGACCCTGATTCAACCAATTGAAAACAGAAGAGAAAACAAGAAAGTTACGCTTCATCACATCAACTTGTCTAGTCAAGCTTTGTCACCCAGACTCCTTACAAACAACAAATAATGAATAAGTTTGAACCACAAAAAGATTACATATATCTATTAAATCATCCAAACTTGTCATCCAAATTCCATACTAGCGAACAACGAACTACCAAAAGGACAAGTTAGAGACATGTTGGCAAAATTGAATTCAACAACAAAATAAGGCCATAGCAACCGTATCAGTTATACTAAATGAGCAACACATATATGATTGTACGTATTACCTTGGGTCCCATGGTTACTTTCACAGCATCAGCCACCTGAGTTACACCTTGGAGGATTGCAGCACGAGCCCCAACCCCAAAGTTGATATCTTTGCTCACAAAATTTCTGCTCGACAACAACCTACCATATACCTGTCACCAAATATCAAGTCATCATTCCTCTGTCACTGTCCCTGTTAGATTACTGACACCCTTTTAAGAAACTATGTACTATAATGATATAAAAAAACAAATCAATGTCTATATTGAATATGCAGAACCACTACATTAGCAAAGCAAAGAATAAGGGAAAAGTAATTACGAGGTTCTTAGCGGAGGGAGAAGCAATGGAAGAAGAAGCTACTTTTCTAGCTAATCGATACATTGCAGTTGCAGTTTGCAGCAACAATTGATTTGGAAATGAAATCAGAAATGGCAACCAATGGAATAAGTAGGGCTTTGCAGAGGGTTTAAGCTTTTGTTTGGTTCTGGAAAACTCCTTATACTCTAACCTTAATCTGTTACACAGCCCAACCTAATAAGAAACTTGTTCCTTCTATTAGACACCCCTGTTTACTAATTACACTCCATTGTGTTCGTATTTTTTTAAACTATTTTCAAGAATTTTAAGAAAATAAAGATATATTGAAAGAAAATATCTTCTAACATGTTACGAAAAAAAATTACTTCTAAAATATAAAGAGAGAAAAAATACTTCTCAAAAATATTGTTTTTTACATTCATAAAAGTATTTTTCAAAATTATTAAAAAATAAATGTAATAAAGGGGTCGAGCTGTTATTTTTAACTCTAGTCACTAGCTTATTATTATGTCAAACAACTCATCACTTAAAAAATAGTAATAAATTACAAAGATTAAAATAAAAGAATTGCAAGTCAGAATATGGAAATAAAATTGAATCGTCAAAATATAAAAAATAGCCTCATTATTCTCTTTGCCTAAGTAATCATATTGATAATTACAATTTTTATATTACTATTCAATATATAGTCATATGTTATAATTGTGTCCATACAATATTACATAATAAAATTACTTATTTATTAAATTTTTGTAACAATATTCCGTGAGCAAAGTGCAGACTTTTTTTACATTATTATAAGTTTTGATTCTATAATAATGTATATGATGAATATGTTTAATAATAAAAATAAATAAACAATCATATAAGTTTAATATATTATGCTGATAAAAAAATTTAATATATTATACCATTATTAATATAATAATAATAATACAAAAAATGTTTTTTTAATAACCCTTTCTACATTTTTAACCAAGTGGATTTTATAAATATTTAAGCATGATGTACGTCATAAAATAGTTTGTCTAGATATTAGGTGGATATATAGTCATATGTATATGTTAGATAAGCTTACATTTTTCTAACACAAATCAATATTATGTTTAGTTATTATTTGTTCCATTTTCATTATTGTATTACAAACTTAGATATAATAAATAGTTCAATATAATTTCTCTTTGTTCAAGTTGTTTTTATCTATTCATAGTTTAAATGATTACTTTAAATACTGTACATTTATTTACATTATATATTTAAAGTGATGTTTCGATTTATCTGAATCTTAAAGGAAAAGTAGCAGCATTTATTTGTGGTATATTGTGTCCGTTTTAC